TGTCTATACTAAATGAATAAAAAACATAATAACTAAACATTTAAAAAAGATAAAACATGCTAATATTTGATTTTTTTTCTTCCCAAATATGTAATTTAAAGTTTTTGAAATAATTATTTTTTCTTTTTAAAAAGTCAGCGAGTAATAAACTAGAAATTTTAATATTGTACGATTAAAAACTCTGCAATAGCTAATATTTTTACTAGTGATTTTGTATAATATTTATTTATTTTTATTTATTTTCATAAAGCGTTTGATAAGCACAATCACTCGTATTACTAAACAACTTTAACGAACGTTTTGAATAGATTTTTAATGTTTACAAGGAATTTAATTTCTAGTAAAATAAAATAAAATAAAATGCTAAAATAAAAATCTTATAGTAGGTACGTGCGTATCCAATGAGTTACGGCACCGATTACGTAATCAAATTCTTCAACTATTTTATCAAAGCGTGCTTAGCGTTTGAGTTGTAAGAATGTATTTTGTTGTGTTATTTTTTAGGATTTTATCTCAGCATAGACTTTTTTTGAAAATTGGAAAAGTTAAACTTCTTTTTTGGATAGTTTTTTTTTGAAGTTACAACTGCTTTTATTGAATTTAGTTTTCTTAAAAACTTCGTTGTTGATCACATGTCAAATTAATATTGAAAAAATGTTGAGAGCATTTTTGAAACTATTGAGAAAAAAAACGGATAATTTAAAAATTTGGTCGCAGTTTTTTTAAGCAATCCTTGTAATCAAATTTTGTTACTTAAATGAGCATAACTTTTTGTAGGATTGTTGTTCTGTTATGAAATTTTCATTATTGTAATGCTGATTTTAGCCTCTTTTTAATGATATATAATAATCAATAATAAAAATAGTTTAAAATTTTTACACACTTTTACTTATAGGTATAAAAAACATATTTCAGCTAAAAAATTTGCATATTGAACAATATTTAATGAAAGGTGCGCTAAAATAAAAAAAAGAAAACATTACGTGGTTAAATATGAGAATTAATTTTATTTTATAAATAAATGGCTAATGATTACAAGTTACAAATTAATTTTTATTTTATTTTTTACGTTTATTGAGCCCTTTTCAGGGTGTTTTTGGAAATTCGCTTTACATCGGTAGAAACCGGGTAACAAAACCAGGTTATATAAACTTATCAAACTATTGACGTTCTATTTTTGAGCAGCTGTTCTTGAGCACGCTTCGTTGAGTTTCGGTAACTTTTAGCAAAAAAGCGATTGTTATTAATTAATTTTTTTTTAATTACTTTTTTACAAAAATTTTAATAACTGTACTTTTTTATTGAATCAAGTAGAATACGTTTTAATATTAATCCTTTTATTTTTTTATTTGCGCTTGCCAATTTTCAAAATATTTCCTCGAAATTACTCTTAAATACTTTAAATACGTCTAACAGTTAATAAATATTTTTAAATCTATGGAATAATTTAAAAACCTAAAAAACCCTCGTAAAATAATTATTTAAGTTAAAAATCTAAAACTAAAAGAAAGTATTTTTGTTCAATTTTATCGACAACTTTGCTATTGCTGAATAATTTTATTAAAATGTTAGCTTAAAAAGATTTTAACTTTTTTTTTAATCTGAATTTTTTCTACTTAAATAATGAGCATATTTATTTTTTTTGTAATTCAAACTTTTATATCAACAACGGTTTTTAAAATATTTTATTAAATGTTAAAATAATCGTAAATTACTTCATTAAAGTTCCGCTCAAAAATATCTTTAAATATACTCAAACAAAAATATTTTTGCTCGACGCAAATAGCCCTAGCTACACGCAAAATTGCTCTTGGACAACGTAAAATTCACATCGCCCGACGCTTTATCGCAAGGCCTGATGCTATAAAACATGCTTAAGTTTTTTTATACGCATACTGCATTGCATGCCAGCATTAAGCAACGCGTTCAATAAAATTTAAGCATTTATATACTTATATACATTTATATATTTGTATACATTTATAGACACAACTTTTTAAAGGTTTTTTTTTTGCATTACGGGTTAATATAAAAGCTCCATTTTTTAATTGTATAATTGAGCTATAATCGATTATATAAATGAGTTGAATTGATTATATAAATGTATAATTGTTTATATAAATCTATAACAAAATAATATAAATGTATAATTTTATACATAAATTTTATTATAAAAAATTTATGAAATTATTGTATAGTTAGTAGCATCAGCTGTTCACTAGTTTTTTTGCATTCAAATAATAATTCTATTGGGTAATTTCACATCAAATCACCCAGTCCATTGAAGCATGAGTCTTTTTTTTATTTTGTATTTTGACACATAATTCCTATTTATAAAAAAATATTGTATGCACAATTTCAGCCTAAAATGTTAAGTGGTTGCTAAGATACTTCAATTTTAATTTTGACCTGGTTTCCCAAATGACCTGGTATTTATAACATTCTGAAAAAACGATAATGATAATGTTTAATTGATCCATATTTTATTTTAGTTGGTACTTAAGATTCTGTGAGTTAGAGTGGGCAATAAAAAGATGAACTTGAAGCTTTTTAAAGCAAGATACTAATAGTTAAACAAACATTGAAACATCTGTTGTTAAACTCAATAGTGTTGTACAGTCAGTAGTTTGCCTTTGCTTGTAGTTTTATTTTGCTTTGAATGATGATATTAGAAAATCCTCATTTTGTTTACCCTGACTTTTCTTTTTTAAGATCTTTTTTACTGACAATCTTTTGTTTACAAAGTTTGCAGAGTTTCTTCCCAAGTGAAATGATCTATTTTATATTCTATTAATAACTGTTTCTCAATATTCTAATAATAACTATTTCTCAGCATGACATGACTCTTATCTTGTAACTACATCAAGATTTTCTAAAAGTAATTGTTTAAAGCTTTTCTCCACAATTGTATAAAACTTTGTTTTATGTTTTGGAAAACACAAATTTAAAAAGTATACATAATAAAATATTTAAATTTTACATCTACTTACTTTTGAATTTCTTTGTATGTTTATTGAATGGATCGCAACAAGCTTTTAACATTGAACAATCAGACTTAACATATTGTTAAGTCTGATTGTTAAGTTCAATGTTACAGTGTAATTGTTTTTTCTTGATTGTTTACAATAACATTTTGTTAGCCATTACATGCATCAATAACAAGTTTCAATAACATCTTGTTGGCCTTAACATGCATGTGGTGTCATTAAACAAATCTAGTAAGATAAATTACTTAGTATGAATGTTTTACCTTAAAAAAAGGAATTCTTCCTGCTTATTTTCAGTAAAAAAAAAAAAAAGTTTTCAATATGGAAATAATTCAAACCTTTTTTGAATTCTTCTGTGGTATGTTTTTCACTGCTAGATATTGTTAATTTTATTTACAGATATATATATATATATATATATATATATATATATATATATATATATATATATATATATATATATATATATATATATATATATATATAAACAGGCTATATATCTTAAATTATCGATTTGTTAAAATTCAATTAAAATTTTACCAATAAATGAACTTTTAAAATAAAAATGAACTTTTTATAAACTAATTTTTATAAACTTTTACAAAAGAAATAGTTGTCAAAGTTTTAAAAATAAATGCACATCAATATGTTATTCAGTTTTTATATAAAAACAAAACAAGATGTTTTTTTCAGTTGTGAAGATCATATAATTACAGGGTTATTCATTCTTATATGCGTGTTTATTCATTTTTATATGCGTCTTTATTCATTCTTATATGCGCATTTTTTTATTCTTATATGCGCATTTATTCATTTTTATATGCACATTTATATGCGAGTCAGCAACCCATAAAATCTCTAATATAATTTTATATAAACAATAAATTTGCATTAATTTTTAATGTTTTTAGATAAATATACTTAAAATATAAATTAGGTTGTTACCACTGCAATTTATTTAAAAAATGGTTGCCGAGCCAGCGCTAAATTGATTTAATAATTATAAATAATTAAAATTAAATCTAGATAAATGAGTATTTAGATAAATAATAATTTAATCAATCAATAAATTTGATATATTGTTTAAGAAAATATTGTTTTGAAAAAATAAATTGTTTTTTCAAAAAAAATTGCTTACTTTTAAAATGATTTTTTTTTGTTCAAATTACTTTTTTATAATGGATATAAGAATGATATATATTGTTTCAGTTATTTTTCCAGTTCAATTTTTTGTGCCTTGTGAGATTATAAGCAGCTGAAAATATTAACAGTAAAATAAATAAAAATAAAAAAAATTTACAGAGGTGAAAATATTGGGAGTAAGTTTATATAAGTTGTTTTATTAACTTTTAAGCAATTTCCTCTAATATTTCAGTATTTTAAGAACATTTATAAAATTCAGCATTAAAAAACATTTATAAATGTTCATTTACATTTTTTTATCTTTCCCATATAATCTACTGTTGTTTAAATAATTATCCTTTCATATTTGAATGTTTATCTTTTTATGTTTAAAATATTTATTTTTTCATTTTTAAATAATTATCTTTTCATGTTTTAAATGTTTATCTTTGCATGTTTAAATGTTTTTTTTTTTTTTTTTTTTTGTTAAAATGTTTATCTTTTCATGTTAAATGTTTACTTAAATGTTACTTTTTCATGTTTAAATGTTTATTTTTTCATGTCGAAATGTTAATCTTTTCCTGTTTATATGTTTATCTTTTTATGTTTAAATTTTTCATGTTTAAATGTTTTTTTTTTTGTTTTTTATGTTTAAATGGTTATTTGTTAATTTTTTATCTTTTCCTAAATATTTGCCATTTTAATGTTTAAATGTTTATCAATTTCATGTTATGATCTCATATTATTCAACTTATGTTATTTATACAATTTGTATTTGTTATTTGTTATTACTTACTATTTTGTTACTTGTATTTAAAATCTTCTAAATGTAAAGAATACTTCTTACAAAGTTTATGTTTAAATAATTTATTTTATTGCTCTACATTTTAGACTTTGGAAAGAAAAGGACAATCTTATAAAATTCAGCTATGTGGAACACTAGTGAGTTGCTAATTATTCTGTCAGTGTCTGACCATTGTTTTAAATTTTAACTTGGTTTTTCTTTAATATATTAACACTTTTTACAACATTTAATTCATCAAGTCAAAGTATTTTATAAAGAATACATTTGTGTTGAAGATTAGATTCTGAGGTGTTGAAAAAGCATGTCCAAAATTTCAAAGAGCGTTTGGATACCAAAATAAGAATGAATGTAAACAGTTTAAATGTTTACATTCATTCTTATTTACAAGACACCTTGTAAATATTTTTAATTTTAACTTATTTGTGCAAAATTTCTAAGGAATACAAAAGTAATTTTTTTAAGAAATTTAAAGACTAACATTGTTTGGGTGCCATTAGGAGGAAAGGGGTTCACTAAACATTCAGAATGGGTACCATTAGGAGGAAAGGATTAAAACTAAAGATTCAGAATTACGATAATAATCTTTAAAAAAGAGTTTTTCTTGAATTTTTTAATTAATATTTATTTAATAAAACATTTTTGTTAATATGGTAGTTAAAATGTGTGTGTATATATATATATATATATATATATATATATATATATATATATATATATATATATATATATATATATATATATATATATATATATATATATATATATATATATATATATATATATATATATACACACATACACAATTTTATTAAAATATGTTTTTATTTCTTTTAGTTTAATGTTGATGTTTTGACACAGCAGCAGTTGGATATGGGGAAATTTATGATTGAGAAACCAAAGGTTATTTAACATTTATTTTGATAGGAAGGATATTTTTATGAAAGTTAAAAAATCAAAAAGTATTTTTTATAGTAAATTTTAAAACTTTATTTTATTTTTACATTAATTTAATTAGTAAATGTTTAATTCTTAAATATCAGCTAGGGTTTGAAAAAATATAGGATTTCCATAAATCATAATAAGTGCTTTTTAATTATGTTTAATGAAACAAATGTTAAAGTAAAATAAAGTATAGTTCAATATTTTTAATATTGGTTTATAACAAAATGCTGTTGATAAAAATTTATTTTGCAGAGTATAATTTAAACTTAAAAAAATAAAATGTTAAACTCAAAAAAAAGCCTTTGCTCTACTTTTTTATTATTCAGATTCTCTCCCAACAAGGCTGCAAGCAACCAATTTTAAGTTGGGAGTTACTAGGAAAAAAAAAAATTAGAATTATAGAACAAGGAAACGGTTGACAGAAGACTTGAAAAGTTGAAGGTTGTACGAGTCAGGAAAACATGAAGATGGAAGAGAGTTCCAAAGAGTTTAAGTGCGAAAAAAAAAATTAGAGGAAAAAAAATATTTTTAGAGTATGTAGGGACAGATACAGTAAATGACTTTGGTAATGACAAGTAAAATGAGAATGAGTTTTAGCTGATGGAGCAAGAGATGATAGCTCCTTTGAGCAGCGTCCATGATAATATTTGTAGGAAAGAGATGCAACTTTACAACAATAAGAAAGAGAATAAATCTCCTATTCGTCTCTGTATGGAATACAGGGATGAATAAGAGTTTTGTAGAGGTAGAGAATGGAATCAGGAGTAAGAAAATGGTGAGCATGATAAAGAATAACAACCTTAGTAGATGCTAATTTAGCGCTGCTAAAAAACTCCTTTAAATAACTGATAATGATTATGATATCATATTGATATCAACTGATATCTAACTGATATTTATATTTTCAATTGATATTTTCATACAACAAATTTTGCTGAAGCATTTTATATTTATATATATTTGAATAATTTAAGGAAACTTTTTTTGTGTAATAATTTGATTAAAAATAATAATTATAAAAATAAAAACTGATTTTACAGGCTTGGTCGGGAAGCGGGAGCGATCGCTCTCGATTGCTGACCACGTAAATAATATTTAGTTGCGAAAAGCTGGCCAGATTTTTTAGTCGTTTTGAGAACATTTTAAAAAGCAAAAAAAAAAGCGACGAAGATTAATTGGACCGACGAGAGACAATTACAAAAAAAAAAAAAGTAGGCAAATAAAATATCTTTAAACGCGAAAAAATTTAAAGCTAAATAAATTACATTTAAAACAAATATTTTCGAAACATCGCTCTTTTATAATTTTTTTATAAAATTAAGCAATGTTTTTTATAGAAACATCAACTTTTTATAGAAACATACAACCGTCAACTTAAATGATTGTTTAAAAGGAAAACAAATATTCTTTATTTAACTAAGTTTGCAAGTTTTAGTTTTACTTAAGCTTAATTTATTTTATAAATAAAAAAGTTAATTTTTTCAATACCTATTTTATGTTTCGCGTAGTTTGAAAAGTTTAACATATTTAAAGCGATTCTTCTTAGTAAGATAAACAAATGAAATAATTAAATCATTGAATTACTATATATAAGAATTAAATTATCAAGATAGAAATCAACTAAAAAGGTTAAAAATACTTAATGACCAGGAAGCGAAACTGCTTCACAATATCGCTGATGATGTTTAGTGAGTGGGCTTTTAAATTTTAATTAGTGTTTAAAGCAGAAAAAAGTATAACGAGTTTTAAGAATGGCAACTTAAGCAAAATTAATTAGAGTTAGTAATTCAATATCTAGAAATTTTTCTTTATATCTAATTATTTGCTATATATATATTTGTGTTCTGTCGTGACCTCAGGCGCGATGCTTGTTCATCCGCGAGTTACTTTGTATGCGTTGTTTGTGTTTAGTAACCAGAAACTTCTTATATGTTTGTTACATAATTAGTTTTATTAACTTTAACGATTAAAACTTCATTAAAAACACAATTATTTTTGTAAGTCTTTGTTTAAATCATAAAAATTGCTTTAAAAGATACATTACGATAAAAAATAAATACACAAAATTACATTTACATAAAGAATACAATCTCTTTTAAAATAAAAAATAAGAATATACTAATAAAATCTATGATTTATAATAAACTTTGAAAATTTCAACAATTTAACTAGTATATATTTAAAACATTTATTTTCGTAAACAAATAATATAAATTCTTAAAACAATGCTAAAAATCTCAAAACGTAACAAATCGTGAATAATACAATTTCTAAAACATTTTAACAGAATACTCTAGAACTTTATTTCACTTAATCAGTGTATTTTTTGAACCAATAGAATTAGTTTGTTCGTTAATTTGGCGGGTTTTTAGTGTTCGCAAACATTCTTTTTATTCTTTTGCACAAAGATGTTTTGAGAACATTCAACTTTTTTTATGTTTCCATGTATGTCCGTAAAACAAAAATTTTTTGTTTCGTACACAAACTTAAATGTTCTCAAAACGACTAAAAAACCTGGCCAGTTTTACGCAACTAAATATAATTTCCGTGGTCAGTATTCGAGAGCGATCGCTCCCGCTTCCCGACCAAGCCTGATCTTACTTCTTGTCTGTTTTTGTCAATGTCATAATCAAAAAATATGACACAAAAGAAGGACACTAGGTTTTGTGCGCCTACTATAAAACTCAAGAAGATGTACCAACAACTGTTTTTAGAAGTGAAACATACAAGTAATTTAATTTCAAAGTTCGTTAAGTTAGACAACTTTCCTAAATCAGTTACTGGAAAAATTAATCAAAACAAACTTTCAGAATATTTTTTCAAAGAATGTTTCATAAATTCCGTTATTTATAATAGAGCTTTTGTATTTCACTTAAAAAAATAATATTTGAATAATTTATGGAAACTTTTTTTTAAAATTTATATAGAGCTTTTGTATTTCATTTAAAAATATTATATTTCATAATCAGCGCTCTTTTAATGATTCAAAGTTAATTTTATTTACACAGAATTTTTCTAGTTCAAGAGCAAGTTATTTTTTTACAGAATTTTTTTTTTTTAAGTTATTTTTATTTACACAGAATTTTTCTAGTTTTAGAGCAATTTTGCGTTTCTGATTTGATCCTTTAAATTTTCTGCTGTCAAAGAATTTTCTTGTCAAAGAAATTTCTGCTTTTTTCTGTTGTTTTCTGTCTTTTTCTGCTTGCCAAAGTTTTTCTGTTTGTCTATTTCTGTCTTTTTCTGCTTTTCAAAGTCTATTTCTGAAGGTGACAGCACTTCTTATTTATGATTTACGCTATGCTTGATTTTAAATGTTTCTTTTAAATAAAGTTAAACTCAAATATAAAAATTAAAATAATTAAAAAAAAGAAAAACTATTATCAAAATCCATATTTTATTAATGATATTGCCTCTCTCTCAGAATGATATTGCCTTATTTCAAAAAGCAACTCTATAAAGGCATTGTCTTTTTTAAAGTTGATTTTAGATTGACTTTTGACATGTTTTGCAGAATTATTTTTTTCTGTGAAAGAAACATCAGAGAATAGTTTTTTATTTGTTTCAGTTTTAGGACTAATAAAGTGTAAAGGATAAGTAAAAATAAGTAAAAAAAAGTATATAAAACATGATCAGTTTATATTATTTTTTAGCTGGAATTATATAACACCATTAACTTTAGTAATATAGTACTTTATTATTTTAAATTACTTTAAAATTGGTAAGTCTTATTGCAATGACATCATATACTGAAACTGTTATGAATTAAACATGCATGGAATAAATTATCAAGGCTTTCAGATTGCAGCTAACATTATATAGACTCTGAGAACCAAAAAAAAAAAATGAGAAGGTGAGTTTTGACTAAAACAATCATTTCAATTTTGTTGGTATGCATTCATTATTTAGTTTCAATCAAAAAAATTCAGCCCAAATGTTTTTTTTTAACATTTTCTTTAATATGAACACCACTTGACTCAGCAGTTGGGGATCCCTTTAAGGCAACAATATGCATTTATGACAAAATTTTAAACTAAGTTACAATGTCAAAGAATAATTTATTCAAAGAAGATAATATTATAAATTGACCACTAAGTCTAAACAAGAATTCTAAAATACAAATAACTACAGAATAATAGTAATTAAAAATCAAATTTACTCAATTTTTAGTTCTTGGTTAAAACAAAGTAAGAAATATTTTACAAGCTTAATCATTATTTCAATTTCAACAAACTGTAAATAAAAAACAACAATCGTTACAGAATTTAGTTGTCGAGGATTACTCATGAAACTTTTGAAAACAATTTGAATTAGATGTAAAGCATAAATGAACTTCACACTCACAAAAAACTTTTGTTATTTCAGTGCAGCCTGGATACTTACAACATCCTTTTTTATCAACAAATGAAGGAAAATGACCAATACTATCTTTCCTAGTGGATAGTTCAGGTGTATTTGCAGCAGGACCCCTCCTTCTCTTTAATCTATGAAGATGGTCAACAGAAGTGGATGGTCGTCCTCACCTACTGCTTAAAACCTTCTCAGACTGAACTAAGCATTTTGCAACTTTCAGCTTAAATATCTGCAATTGAAGAATATCTTTCCAAAAAGCTTGTGACTTTTTCATGTCCCTACAATACAGTATCCATAGATACAATAGAGCATCCATAGATACAATAGAGTAACCATAGATACAATAAAGTATCCATAGATACAATAGAGTATCCATAGATACAATAGAGTACCCATAGATACAATAGAGTATCCATGCTTGTATTATTTTTTATTTGATTTTATTTATATCATTTTTTTTATTTGATTGTATATTACAATCAAATAAAAAAAATGCCAAATGAGTTTGTGATACCACTTTTTAGATCTAATATGCATCCTGTACAGACTTAACATGCCATCATGAAGGTCTACCTTACCCATATATGTGTTGTATGTGGTAACAACAG